GGATTATGGGACAAGGAACAGGGAAGTGGGACTAATTGACCAGCTATTTTAATACCTAGCATTGGCAAAATGGACTTAATGGCTGCCTAAGCTGAGTATTTGAGTGTTTGTTGAACAGAAAATTTTCCTTATTAGAAAAGAGATCTCTACTAGATTGTGAAAGTTGTCTGTCAGTAATGGTCTGTAAATAAAATATAATTTTATATTTCTATCTGCTTCATCAATTTCTACTTCACAGCCATCAAGTTTATATCATTTTAATTGTATAATAATTTCTACAGGAACCAAATCAACATTCAAACTGCTTTACATGTTGAACATACATAGCAAATATGTCGAGTTTATTATAAAATTGAAAACAGAAACTATGTAATGGAATTAGTACACTTCCACCTGCCTGGAAAGGTCTATAGAAGGCAATAACAGTACAGCAGCTTCTACTAAACACTATGGAACATCAGTTTTTTTGGATACCTTGGCTTTCAGTGGCTGCATTTATAAATTTATATAGTCTGAAGTTATGTCACTAGATAAATCACGTTGCTGTTGGGCACGGCATGCACTGATAGGAGCACCAGCTCATTCTTTAGTTGACCTTGGAGCTATGAAAGGCAGTTAAACACCAGTACAAATTTGCTGATAAATCATTTTGAATGCACTTGGGTGAAGAATAAATTTAATTAGCTGATGATAAAGGTAGTTTCTTGATTTTAGCCGACTGGATTCTTTGTTTTAATGAATAAAAGTTCCCCAGTAGCTCAACTGATAGGTGAACTGGTCAGTTAAAAATGCAAAGAATGTTACCACATGGGGTCAATTTAGGGACCTATTAGAAATGAGAATCAGGGTTTTCTAGCTTGACGTGAAATTAGACACAGAGAAATAGGCAAGACTGGATGATTTGAAATTGCAGTGCCACTCTTCCTGGACTGTTTTATGACATGGAAGTGCCAGTGTTGGACTGAGGTGGACAAAGTCAGAAGTCACACAACACCAGGTTATAGTCCAACAGATTTACTTGAAATCACAAGTTTTCAGAACACAGTCCTTTCATCAGGTGCAGTGAGAGAAAAGAGCACACAAACACAGAATTTATAGGCAGGGAGATCAAGGGTTGAGAGATCAAAAGATCATGCAACTAGTGTGAGTGGAATGTCAGATAATAAGTCTCTGCAGCTGACCAAGAGTTAGACTGTCAGTAAAGTGTCAACAGCTGCATAACCAGCAGAGGGATGACCTATAATCCGATTAAATGAGGCAGAGAGATAATTGCAAAAGATTAAAAATAAACTGGTGCTGGAGACAAACAAAATGTCTGGAAATAACATGGTAGGTACGAGTCGCATGCTGAGGGTCTAACCAAAGTAACAGGTGATTCAAAACTGTACAAGATCATAATTTATCAAGGTGATGGTGTCAAAACAGGACAGTAAGGAAGATTTTACAGATAGGGAATAGTGTGGTGGGGTCACGTGTAGTGCAACATGAAGCCAAGATCACTTTGGAGTGTAGCGAATGTTGTGCAAAGTGATCTTGGCTTCATGTCACACTACACCTGATCCCACCACACTATTCTGTATCTGTAAAATCTTCCTTACTGTCCTGTTTTGACAGCTGTGTTTGGCGGATGGATAAATCCTGGTCCTGATCGGATATATCCAAGAACCCTACAAGAGGCTAGAGAAGAAATTGCAGGGGCCCTGGCTGATATATTTGCATTATCGTTAGCCATGTATGATGTCCCAGAAGACTGGAGTGTAGCGAATGTTGTGCAGTCTTCTGGGACATCATACGTGGCTAACGATAATGCAAATATATCAGCCAGGGCCCCTGCAATTTCTCCTCTAGCCTCTTGTAGGGTTCTTGGATATATCCTATCAGGACCAGGATTTATCCATCCGCCGAACACAGCTGTCAAAACAGGACAGTAGCTAAGATCTTACAGATACAGAATAGTGTGGTGGGATTACATGTGATACGACATGAACCCAAGATCATGGTTGAGGTCGTCTTCAAGGGAACGGAACTTGGCTATCAGTTTCTGCTTGGCAATTTTGTGTTGTTGCATATCTCGAAGTATGCCGATCCAACCAAAGAACACATCCGTCAACTCAACAGACTGATCAAGATCTTCAGAGTATCCTATGCACTCTCATCCCGTGTACTTCTTGCCTAGGAGACTTCTACTGCATTCTGAAGATGCACAAAGCCAACACACCTGGACGTCCCATCATATCAGGCAATGGGACCTTGTGTAAGAACCTCACTGGCCAATGTTACCTATCTCATACGCAGCAGCCAAGGATGCCACGAGGCATGATATATGCAGACGCTACGACAATGGATGAATGGACACCATGCAACAATTGCCAAACAGAAATGTTCCCTCCTAGTCAGGGAACATTTCAGCGGTCAAGGGCATTCAGCCTCTGATCTTCGGGTTAAGTGTCGTCCAAGGAGGACTTCAAGATATACCACAACGCAAAATCGCTGAACAGAGACTGATAGCCAAGTTCCATACCCATGAAGATGGCCTCAACTGTGATAGAGTCGTAGAGTCCTCCAGCATGGAGACAGGCCCTTCAGCCCAAACAGGTCCATGCTGACCAAAGTGTCCATCCACACTAACCCCATTTCCCTGCACTTAGCCCATATCCCTCTAAACCTTTCCTATCCATGTATTTGGCCAAATACCTTTTAAAATGATAATGTACCCACCTCAACCACTTCAGCTCGTTCCATATGCATACCACCCTCTGTGTAAAAAAAAAAAAAAAAAAAATAATAAATTGCCCCTCAGGTTCCCATGTATTCTTTCCCATCTTACCTTAAACTGATGCAGTCTAGTCCTCGATTCCCCCAACCTTGGGAAAAAGACGGAGTGCATTCACCGTATCCATGCCTCTTATGATTTTATATACTTCTATAAGATCCCCCCTCAGTCTCGTACGCTCTAAAGAAAAAGGTCCTAGCTTGTCCAACCTCCCTATAACTCAGTGCCTTGAGTCCTGGCAACATCCATGTAAACTTCTTCTGCACTCTTTTCAGTTTAATAACATCCTTCTATAGCAAGGCAACCAAAACTGAATACAATACTCCAAGTGCGGACTCACCAACGTCCTGTACAACTGCAATATAACTTCCTAACTTTTGTTGGAAAGAAAATCGGGAGGGCGAAAAGGGGCCATGAGATAGCCTTGGCCGAGAAGATTAGGGTGGACCAAAGAGGTTCTTCAAGTATATTAAATGAAAAAGAATAACTAGAGAGAGAATAGGACTCCTCAAACACCAAAGTGGGCATGTATGTGTGGAACCACAGGAGATGGATGAGGTCAATGAATATTTCTCCTTCATATTTACTGTGGAGAAAGACATGAAGACTTGGGAAAGTTGGTAGCGATATCTTGGGGACAGTCCCTATCATAGGAAAGGTGGTATTGGAAGTATTAGAATGTATGAAGGTGGATAAATTTCCTGGTCCTGATCAGATATATTCAAGAAGGGCTGCAAAGTGATCTTTGCTTCATGTCGCACTACATGTGACCCGACTGCACTGTTCTATATCTGTAAAGTCTTCCTTACTGTCCTGTTTTGACACCATCACTTTGATAAATTGTTATGATCTCTCTACCTTAATTAGTTTGTACAGTTTTGAATTACCTATTACTTTGGTTAGACCCTCGGCTTGCGACTCATAGACATGCACTGGAATTCCTAGAGGCGTGGTTCTTCACCCATACAGAATTGGACTCCATATACAAACCCATACAATCAAAACCAGAAATGACATTACTCACCATAATGGACCGGACAGTATAAATTCCAAGTGCAATAGAATAACATAGCTTCATTGGAGGCTCCACTGATGATGTCACCTAGCATGGTGACGAAACGTCACAACAAAAAAAGCCAGCTCGGCAAGCAAGTCAACAACCTCATCCACAACCTGAGCTACAGATCTTTGCCAAAACTTTAAATGCGACTCATTACCTATCACATTATTCCAGTCATTTAGTTTGTTTCCAGCACCACCTTATTTTTAATTTTTTGCAATTCTCTCCCTGTCTCATTTAATCAGATTATAGGTCATCCCCTTGCTGGTTATTTAGCTGTTGACACATTGCAGGTGACCGAGTGTTAGACGGTCAGTTGAGACTTATCTGACATTCCCCTCACACCAGTTGCATGATCTTTTGATCTCTTAGCCCTTGACCTGTCTATAAACTTTGTGTCTGTGTGCTCTTTTCTCTCACTGCACCTGACAAAGGGTCTGTGCTCCAAAAGCTTGCGATTTCAAATAAACCTGTTGGTGTATAACCTGGTGTCATGTGACTCCTGACTTTGTCCATCCCAGTCCAACACCGGCATCTCCACATCTTTGCTAGTGTTGCTTTGAAAGTCATGACTAAAAGCCAGTGGAGGATTGAGAATATGACTGGTGCCACTTGCCACTTCATGATGTATGGAACAAGAATTCTGTGTGCTTTTCTGTCCCTGGCTCTGTTTTTATTCTAATTATTCACAAGCATATGTTTATTGTTTTACTATATCATACTATTTGCATAAGAAATTTGAGAACCCAAGTGTAATCCAGTTGGGTTACTAACTTTCAAAATGTTGGTCTTTGTGGACTTAAGAGTACTATTTTAATACAATTAACAAATTACGTGTGCAATTACAGAATTCCAGCCCAGCCCACCCCCACCATGAATGTGAACTGAGCTGTGTAATTTCTTTTGGTGCTTGCAAATATTTGTAACATTATTACAATTTGTAACAATTATTACAAGTTACAAAATTTTTACAGCATCATCTTTGTGGCTTTTACTAATTGTTCTAATCATGTAAATAAGTGACCATGTGGCTAGGTTAGGCCATGTGGTTCTCCATCAGTACTTATAATCTAAAACGACATTACATTTGACACTGACCACAATAGCACAGTATTTCTGTGCTGATAATGGCTTGAGAATTTTTATATTTTGATGTTTGCATTCTAGGTGAGACAGATTCGTCATGTACAAAGGACAGCTCAATGTGCAGGAGGAAGTGGTGCGGCCTCATTTGTGGTAAGCAACTACAGAACAATACAAGAGCTTTTTTTAAAAAAGAATATCTGATAGGTTAATTCATTTTGATTATTTCTTATTTGATTTAACTTGATGCTGCAGTGGTTAGAACTCTGCTTTCACCTCTGGTGTCATAGTTTTGAATCTGAGACTAGAGTTGATAGGTTGAAAGCCTTTACCCTCCTTGACTTAAGGTTCTTGAAATAGCAGTTCAAGTATGTTCATCCCAGATGAATACTCCCCATGTCATACAGCTTGAAATCATAGAAACACCAGAAAACAGAAGCATGAATAGGCTGTTCAGCCCTTCAATATGAAATTGTCACCATCCCCTCAGTACTGTGTTCTCATTTTGATGCCTACTTTATGCCCAAGAACTATATCTGTCTCCTTATAGGAAAATTCACTGTTTGGGGTTCAACCACTTTCTGTGACAGAAACTTCCACAGTACTGTCTAGGTGAAGAAATTTGCCCTCCTCTCAGTCCTAAATGGCCTACTGTGTACTGTTAGACTGTGACCACAAGTGTAATTGATACTACAATGGGAATTACATTGATGTCATGTTGGTGTGCTGCAGCAGATTTTGAAGTACCTTACTGGAGTGTTGTTTGCAAACAGCATCGCATTTAAAGTCATAAAGAGAAGCAGTGTAGTTCCTCCGTTAGACCTGCTAGTTTCCATAAATAGCAAAATACTGCACTATTAGAATCTGAGTTTCAAGTTGCAGTTTGGGCCGAAGGGCCTGTTTCCATGCTGTATTACTCTAGATCAATACAAACTCTTAAATCCTTCAAATAGATTGCAGCAGTTTAAAAAGACAGCTCACCACCATCTTCTGCAGGGCAACTACAGGTGGGCAACAAATATGTTTCTCTATGGCATTGCAAAAGCAGACAGTGGTAAATAAAAAAGTATGTTCACTGCTAGCCTCTCTTTAAAGAGAAGGAAACACCACTAATTAGGCGAATTTGAGGAGAATTAATCTGTCATTGAGATTACTGATTTCACCTTCTGCTTGACGTTGTTTTGAGAAATTGTTTATTAAATACAGCACTGTTAATCCTGTAAATTCAGCCCTGTGGTTCGACTTATCAGATGTAGAGCACGGTTATTGTTTCCTGCTCTCACATTTATGACAAATAATCTTGATCAAAACGTAGATTTCAGCAAATGCACAATACTTAAACTGAGGTCATTCGGGAGACATTTATTGTTACGTATCACATTAAAGGGTTTTCACCATGCTTTGTGAATACTTCTGATTATACCAATCTATGATTACTGAAGTATTTTAGCTGGCAACTATAGGGTCACTTGGCATAGAATTATGTAAATAAAATTGTAAAAATTATTTCCATGGCATAGAGAATATTTTTCAAATCCTTGTAAAGTACCTGTGAATCGTTGTCTAGGTTAGAATGAAGTATGAACACAATCTGACTTTTAGGATATTTCTGAGAACAGAATGCAGCGCAACAAAAAAGTGTAAGAAATGGTTAGAATCATAATCACTATCAAATTAACTAGTCTTCAAACTTATGGTCTGAAATGATCACTTATCAACATGGAGTGTAAAGCCTTTGTACTACCAGACTGCTAAATAGAAGTACATTTTAAAGTTGTAATTTTGAACAAGGATGTAGATGAGATGAACTCCACCTAAGAACCAACTATGCTATGATTCCCACGGATTTTATGATGGTGAACTTGGGTAAATCCATTCAGTGTGCAGGGAAACAATGTACTAATCTACGGATAGAGGAAAACCATATCCATTGCCACACTCATTCTTATGGCCTCCATTTGTGTAGTACTGCATCAGGCTGTGGGTAGACCCTTTTGTAGGCAATACCGAGCTCACAACACGCTAAGGACCTCCTCCCTGCCCCAGATATTGTTTTGATTGGTTTTTGCACATTGTCATGAAATTTTCCATTCGTTGGGACTATCCCACACCATGTGGTCTTTGTGCCCAAAAGACCTTGGACCACAAGTCCAACAAGCAGTAATCCACACGTATAATATTCAAGGTCCTGCAAAGAACAGCAGATGTACAATCTGTTGAATCCCTCTGAGCGCACTGGCAAATCTCTTTGGTAGAATGCTTCATTGTCAGACTTTCAAATGAACACCAAGATATAGCTTCATTGGTGGTAAGAACGCCATCTCTGTCAGATCCGTCATAGATACTTGGGGTCTGAGCACTGCTGCATGATGGTCTGAGGAAAGAGACCATTGTCCACATGCTTCTGGATTATGCTTTTTAAATGCAGATCTGGAAAACGATGGTGTATTTTGTTGAGGTTCTGAGTACCCCCATTATGGGGTACTCTTCTTGACAGGCTGTACTCAAGGGCTCAGACGTGCATCAGCTGCTCCTGTAGAACACAAACTTGATGATCTTGAAACTTGCCAGTCTTCCAGTACGCAGAGCTGCCCGCAGCTGAATGTTGCAGATTCACATAATCATGAAGTTTCATGTACTTAGTGAAAAACTAAAGCTACTGCAAAGTCTCAATTGGTCACAGTTTGAAGCCTTCCCAGTCCAACAATCTGAAACCCATGTAAAACGCTAGACAATATACAATATATATAGTAGACAATATTTGTTATGAAATGTAAATGGTACACATAAAGCCTGGAATTGCAAGTGTGATGAGAAACCTCAGCGTGCTACACACTTGTGTAAGAAATTGGCCAATTTTGCATTTTATGTAACATCAAATTTGAAATTATGTAATGTACATTTGTAAATTTTAAAAAGGTATATATTTCATTGGAAAGAACTGGTCTAGAACTTGCATTCCTCAATCTTTTCTTATTTGTATTCATTGCCTCCTGTCATAGTGCATAATTTCTAAAGTCCTTGTTCACATTAACATTCTTCCATTGCCTTGCCCTTTATTACTTCAACACTGTCCTTCATACGTTCATGCACACACCAATATTCTTATGATTGGCCTCCTTTTGCATCATCTTTCTTGCTTCTGCTCCAGAATGTTCAGCTCTCTTTCAGTGCATTCTGGAATGATCTCTCTAAACCCATACACATTGCTGATCCTCTTCACTCCATCAAGACTTCTCAAAATCACCTCCTTGTCTTTCTAGCTTTCTCCACCTAACCTTTTCTTCACTTGTGCTGCTCTGTGGTTATTTTTTCTTCACTCAAGATCCTTTTTAGTGCCATTTAACAGTTTAAAGTTGTGAATTATTATCGTATAGAGAAGTGAGCTGCTTTTCTATTATCAGCATGTGTAAAAAATCTATTTTTGTCCATTAAGCATAGGGATACTCCTGATAACAATCCAGACACACCATTTGATTTCACACCAGAAAATTATAAGGTAAGAACACTGATACTTGTAACTTAAGTTTTCTTTTTGG